CAAATTAGTCTCTATAACTGTACAGTCTGTAATTATACCTAGAACAACTGAGGAGTAAACTTTATCCTCTTTTTAAGAATATTTTGAATAATCCACCATATTTTTCCTCCTGTTTGTATCCCTCCCCCCCTTACTTTGGTTTGTGAGCCGCCCTGAGTCCCTCTGGGAATAGGGCAGCATAGAAATGCAATAAATCAAATCAAATCAAATATTTTTATCCAAAATGCTTTAACTTTTTTACAAGTCCACCATACATGATAATACATAGCGTCAACACAATCACATCTCCAACATTTGGATTGTAAATTCGGATACATACAAGCTAGCATAGAAATGCAATAAATCAAATCAAATCAAATCAAATATTTTTATCCAAAATGCTTTAACTTTTTTACAAGTCCACCATACATGATAATACATAGCGTCAACACAATCACATCTCCAACATTTGGATTGTAAATTCGGATACATACAAGCTAGCATAGAAATGCAATAAATCAAATCAAATCAAATCAAATATTTTTATCCAAAATGCTTTAACTTTTTTACAAGTCCACCATACACGATAATACCTATCATCAACACAATCACATCTCCAACATTTGGATTGTAAATTCGGATACATACAAGCTAGCTTTTTGGGATCTAGATGCCATCTATAAAACATCTTCTTGTATACATATTCTTGTATATATAGAAAAGGAATCTACCATAGAGTCCTAGTCTTACTTCATTTGACATTTAACAGGGTTTAACAGATTAACAGAGTTGGAAGGGACCTTATAGATCATCTAGTCCAACCCCCAACTCAAGCAGGAGACCCATCACCATTTCTGACAAATGACAGTCCAATCTCTTCTTGAAAGTCTCAAGTGACGAAGCCCCCACAATTTCTGAAGGCAAGCTGTTCCATTGGTTAATTGTTCTCATTCATTCATTAAGAGGAGGGAAGCCAATCCAGTTTTATCCAAGGCCCCAATTTTAAGCCTGTGCATATTTGCATAATTTTCTTCAGTGTATACAGCTAGCAGAAGAGGACCAGAAACTGAGAGGCTAAGTTGTGCCTAGATAAGAAAGTTAGGAAGGCAGGGCTCAAGGGCTGCCCTATCCAGGAAGAAGGAGCAGCATCTTTTCTCAAATTTTCACTAGGTTCACAATACTGTTCATTTGAACAAGATGCTGAACATAGCATTGCTAAATGGTTTCTTACCTTATAAAGAGGTACTGTATCTATATTGCCTAGCTTGACCTAGGTAATAAATATGTTAATAATAATTGATTTTCCTAAACAGTTCTCTCCTCCCCCATCCAATTTACTTGAAAAAAGCAACACAGAAATTGTACTTTAAAGGTGCAGTTAATTATGCCATATCTTAAAATGGCTGCCATTGGGAGCAACCTTTTTTTAAATAAAAATAAATGCAGCGTTTTCTTAAGCAGAATGCATGGACACATTAATGCCTACAAGCATTAATGATTCCTTAAAAAAACTTGTGCTGAAGTGTATGTGGACAATAAATACACATTTAACACAAAGCAGTTCAGATCAAAAAGTCCCTCAATAGTCCACCCAAGGAAGGTTAAATTACAAGAGAAGAACTCTGGAGAATGAAAAGCAGTGGTTCCATTCTCCCACATTTCTATGGATACCCAGAAATACACAAGTCCAACATACCTCTTTGTCCAATTGTACCATTCTGAGAGACCCTAATTTACAATATAATCAAAGAACTCACACAAAAAAGCTTTGACACATCATCAAGGAGAGAAATATTACATCAACACCCCACCACAGTGATTCCAGAAAACCAAAGCCCTAAAAATAGAGGAAGATGAAATTATAGTTTCAGTTGATATCATGTCTCTCTTCATGTCTGTAGTTTGAGAATTAGCAAAATAACTACAGCAAAATAACAAATTAGCAAAATAACTACAGACTCTTCATGTCTGTAGTTTGAGAATTAGCAAAATAATCCATTGCATCCATACTACATAACATGACTTAGACAAATATGCTAAAATTGAAATGCCCAGGATAATAAACCACATCAGCCTCTGCCTCACATCCAGTTTGATAGTCAAATATACCAATAAATCAGAGGCACACCCATGGGAACACTGCTCTCAGGATTCATAGGAGACATCCTAATGCAGTGTTTAGAAACTATAGTACTCCTACACACGAAACCAAACATATGGATCTGGTATGTAAATTACACTTCTGTCTTAATAATAAAGGATCAACACAAGACAATCAACAATATCTTCAAAGGAATAAGATTGACAAGGTAGGAAGAAAACAACAACTACTCTTTCTGGATATCCTCATCAGTAGAGGAAACAATGGCAAATAAGAATCACAAGTATATTGGGGGGAAAAACAACCCACGCTAACCGGTGCTCAGTAACAATCCAACCTCCCACAAGAGGAACTATGTGGAAACATTATTCAGACAAGCACAAATGCACTGCAGCAACCTGGAATACCAGAAAAATGAACGAGATCACTTACACAACATCTTCCAACAAAATAGATACTCATGCAACTTTATTAAAAATTGCCTGACCATTTAATTGACTATAGCACAACCAACACAAGCAATGAAAAGGATAACACTGCCATAATCCAAAACATCTCAGGAAAAACCCAGAGATTGTATGCTATAGTATCACGTAGCACACAAACCAATTTAAGCCCTCCAAAACATCTCAGCAAACCAACAGACCCAGTAGCCTAAGAAGAAAAAGCAGGAGTCATCTGCCATATAACGTACAATTTAAGGACTGTAACAGCCACTAGGTAGGACAAGCAGAGGGCAAGCAAAGCACGTCCATGAAAGCCAGTCAGAAGACTAGATGAAATAATCTCACATGATGAAATAATCTTATATCCTCTTCATTAGTCAACACCCTGTTAAACAATGATTAACGTCTAACAAACAATTCAACACAAAATATTACCCTAATAAGGAACCATGAAGGAGAAAGCCACACCTCCACTGAAACTGGCAGGACAAGCTACTGTGTATAAACTCTGAATGGCTTTAAAGCATAGAGTTTGTGGTTCCTGGGGTAGCAGGCAGCCACGAATATTTGCAACCATTGAATTTGCAGCCATTAAATGAAGTGTGGTGGATTGCAACAGGGATATGTTGGGTGTACAAGAATGCTACACATGGCAGAAGACAGCCTATTCTGAAACCTCTTTATGCAACCATTGGGTCCATAACTATT